ATTTTTATATTAAAATATTTTCAAGCTCCTCATTTCATATAAACAAATAAATAAATAAATAAAGTAAAATTTACCATTTATTAAATTTGTTATGTATAAATGTTTTTTACACCAAGTCTTCCGAATAAGTTCATTTTTTGATGTCATAGTATTGTGATTAGAAGATCAATATTTGGAAGAATTAATATAAAAACAAGTTGATGTTAATAAATAAATAGATAGATATATCTTATCTTATAATTTCGTTGTTTCTTATTTGTCACTATATGATAGTAGTATAGTTTTACGTACGTATGAAAGTCATATAGTATAATGCAAACTTGCGTTATGTAAAATTAGAATTCCTTTTAGTATTTACTGAATATAAAATAAAATATAATTAGACATTTGAGATCTCTTCAAATACTTTTTCTATCTAAACTAAATTAAAAAATGTCAACTTATAACTACATTGATTGAAGTAAATAAAATCAAGAGAATTCGGAGCTGTATAATTCCTTTAGAATGATTACAGATGTTGAGACAGTAGTTTTTTTCTTATATAAAAAAAAACTATTTGATTTCTGTTGACATATTAATATATGTACATGTTTATCAGTAGTCAACCATTTCATTTCTCAGACACATCATATTGATTTTCGTGCCGCAGTCTGGCACTCTCTCCCACTTGATGTTTTCGCAGTGATGAATTTCTATTCTATTAACTGATCTAAAAAAAACTTATCTTCAATATTAGATCAATTATTTATCATAAACGATGATTACTTTTACATTTTTGTAAAATGGCTTTATATAACATTTCCTTGAAAATATTAAATTACTAAATTTGCATTTTCAAAATAGTGTAATCATATATTCAACATGTCATACTTTGAATTTTTTCGTTCAAGTATTATTGCAAAGAATATTATAAATCCATCATCCAATAAAAAACATTCCAAATATTGGATAAGTCAAAGGTGAAGTACTAAAATTTTTTTTTATAACTATAATATCCATAATCATGATTTCTATAAATAATAGTTTTTTAGTTTTTCTAAATAAATATATACAAGTATGATTATATGTTTTTAGTCTACTAATTATGGTTAAGCTAGTATTTTAATATTTTATTAAGCAAATCACTCCCCCGTGAAATAATGATACCTTCATTTATATTCATGTTATTCTACTATGATAATTATAAACAACATAGAAGTTTTAATTAAACAAATAAAATTCTTGAATGAACCGCTAATCAACGGTAAACGTCGCATGATAATCAAATATCTTATCTATCTCATATTACACTTGACAAGGTTATCTTGTTATTAGACTAATTATTATTATATTTCACATGGTTTTCGTTTACATTTGACTAGATAAATTATTTTTTTCTAAATTAACAGAGACTATCTGTTAGAAAAGTTTGATATGTACTTTTTTTATCTCTAATGCATATTACAAGTAGTAAGTACTTCTGACAAAAAGCGTAAGATTAAGATCATAATCCTATTATATTTTGTATGTTTTATCATTTCATAAAAAAAATATAACGTTGTTTTTCAATACTAGAACCATTATTTTGAAATATATTAGAAAGTTCTTATATTTATGTTTAATCCACGTATTTTTTATTTCGACAAATAAAACTTTTACATATACATATATATATTTATCTTTGTGTTATTCTATCCAATAAAATATTTAATTTATCTTGTAAATTCGTCATTCCTTGACTGATTTCAATCAATCTATCTTCCATTTTATCAACTTTTCGTTCCATTATTACAACTCGTTGTGATGTTTCATCCGCTGCAATACTTGTAGTACGTTGTACATTAAATAATTCTAATAAACTAACATAATTATCATTTAATTTACGTTGTTGTTGTTTAATTTTTCGAACAAAATGTATTGATGTTAATAATTTACGTTGTGCTTGAATATAATGTATAAACATATGTTTACCTTTTCGTTTTAAAAACCAAACTTTCCAACCATATTTAACAACATTGGCAGCTTGATCTTTATGTGCTTTAGCTAATTGAATACTAGCTACAAAATTATGCACATATTTTTCTGATCTTGTTAATTCAAGTTTTTGAGATATGACAGCAACAAGTAAAGCAGTTGAAAAAACACCAATGATACCTGTTATAGCAGCAATACCTAAAGAATAGAATTATATTTTATTGTTTTTATTTAATTAAATTTGTTAGTATTGTCATGTCCTCCGAGTATTTCTATTAATTTCTTTCATAAAACTGACAACAATACATACAAGTCTATTTGTGAGAAAAACATTATAATCAATAATTAATGCATAATTAATATTCCTAACACATACTCGACTAGAAATACTATAGAACAAAAAAGAATTATATTATTCTATCAAGTGAACAATTGATCTAATCTAATTTTATTCATTCTTTATAAACACAGGAAAAAAACAGAGACACTATTTTTCAATATCTAATCAAAATTTATCTTACCGCGTCCACAATATGTTGATGGTACTATGTCTCCATAACCTTAAAAATAATATATTTATAAATTCAATTAAACAAAGAAAGAAAAAAAGAATTTCTTTTACCAATAGTTGTAAATGAAATAATAAATAACCATGTCGCATCAAGCATTGCCATATGTCCTGTTTTAACATTAAAATCACATGCACGCATTGACCAACTTGCAATAAAGAACGTTGTAATGCAGAATGTTGTTAAACAAAGTGCTGGTCGTTGTTGAATATATGATTTAATGACAAAACGAAAATTGAATGAAACTCGATTAAGATAACCAAGTGATTGAGATGATGCATCACGAACCAAATGTGAATGAAGCATTATAAAACGACAAATCAGATATAATCGAAAAAACACTAGTTTAAAAATAAATAAAAAAATATTTTTAATTTTTTATTAAAGAAAAAACAAAATGTTACTTGGTAAACTAAGCATAACATCAATTGGTACAAATGCTTGTGGAATTTCCTGATCATCTGTTGATGTTATTTGTGTAGTTGGTAATATTGTTGTTGTTGGCATTGTTGTTGTTAAATTTGATATACCTAATGTATTTTGTGTTGAACGATATGGATTAATAAAATTTAAATTTGTTCCAACTTTTTTAACATATTGTGAACTCCATTCAACCAAAAAATGTCCTGGTATTGGATGTATACTACAAACGAATGCTTCGAATAGAATTGAAAATAATTTTGTACGTGTTAATGCAATACGCCAATCATCAATGGAATTATCAACACAATAAAGACTTAAATCAATACGATGATAATAAAAGACAAGACCAACAAGAACAATTGTTGTAAATGTAATTGTTGCTTTTATAAATAAACTAAATGTTGTATCTTTATGATCAACACGATTAAATGTTAATTCATTTTCAATTATCATTAAAATAATGCCTAACAAACCAAGAAAACACATCGCATCATTAATAAGTCGACTAAAAGAAAAGATTTCTTTTCAATTTTTTTTGAATTATTTATTCTTACCGTTGTATATGTAATTCTTTTCGTCTACCTAAACGATAACCTACATTACTCATGAGAGCTTTTTTAACAAAGCGTCGTTGTTGAGTTGGCATTCGACGAAGTTCACTATTATTCACTGGTATACTATTCTGTTTTTTTAATCGACTTTCATTAGTTGAACTGACATTTGAAGATGATGCTGCTGCTGATGAAGAATTTGGTAATGTTGTCATAGATATAGTTGTTGAAGGTGTATCCGATTGACTACGCATTTCTGAATATTTAACAATTGGTGAAGCACCAGATGTTAATGGTCTACGAGGATTGTCACCAGACGCCATAGAAAATAATTAATATATTGGTTCGTATATATATATATATCAATTAAAATATCAATTCTAATGACATTTGATCGACTTGTATTCTTATTCCTACGAATTTCTTTTCAAAACAAATAAAAAAAGAAAAACAGTAATCAAACAGAATATAAAAGAAAAATATGTTTGGTCACAGCTGTTCGAAAAGAAAAATGAATGACAGATTGAGCATAGAAGAATAGAAAACATCATCATATAATGAAATGATGAGTAGAAAAAAATTAATACTTTTTTTTTTCTGATATCTCTTTAGATCTTTCCCTAAGGATGACATGGAATACTCTTTCAGTCGCTTCATCAACAATACAATACAAAATGAAAATGAATGCGCAAATCTAGACAATAAGGGAACAAAAAGAAATGTAATCAGAATGTTTATGTCACGTACTCATCTTTAGCTAGCTTGTAGAGCTTTCATTATCATATATGTTACTTTACTTTATCTATATATGTAAAAACTGTCTCCTACACACGCATATATACTATTGATAATAAATTGTCTTTCTTAGTGTAACTAGATTTTTTAACATACAGATCCTACTCTCTCTTCCTCATCTTTTCTTCATCTAAGCAGTAGCATTAAGAAGAATTTTCTCTCCCTCCCTCCCTTCCTCTGTCTCTCTCTTTCTCTCTCTTTTTTTTCTTTTTTTTGCTTTGTCTATCTTTTGATACAAGAACGTAGAGTATACCTTCTAACATTAGTTTATTGAAAAGATGCTTTTAGAAGGAGATGCTGTTGTTGTTTTTTTTTCCGGAGATTCTCTTAAGCGGGTAGAAGAGATAGATACTCACATGAAGACAAGCGAGTATAAACCAGTAAGAAAAGAGGCATGAAATAGAAAATTAATGGCTGACAAAATGGTGCAACCTACTACTATTGTTACTAGTATTCCATTATTCTTGTTCGTTTACCTAGCTGTCTAATCGTCAATAGAGAAAAAAAAGAAGATGATGAAGAATAAAAAAAGCGGATACTGCTACTTATTTACCAGCTAAATAGCAATGCGTGATAATGAGAAATTCTGAAAAAATAATTCTTTCCTTTCTTTTACATTTAAGTGTTAAAATATTTAACATATCTATTATTCGTTAGTAATTACAACAATCAACGACTATATAATAACACACCATAAATAAAAAACATTCATTCATATGATTACTAAAGATTCATTTTTTTATTTCAATGTAAAATATATTATTAAAATTCTTTTAAGTAGACTATAATAAAATAAACGTTTTTCTTCATAAATAATAGAAATGAATAGGCAGGTGCATAAAAACTATGCGTGATAAGGATATACTCGTTATTAATTTATTTTATGAAAATAATTCCTGCTTTAATTTTCCTAAATGAATATGTTCGTGCATTCAGAAAAATCCTATTGCTTGATATAATCAAAGAAAATCTTCTATGTTGCATGTATTCATATATATAAGAGAAAATCTTCTCGAATTCTATAAATGAATAGAAATTATGAATTAAGACAATGATATCAATTGAAATAATGTATTTCCTGAAAAAGATCATCATCAGAGTTTAAATACACATAAAACATTGTACTTGTCAATGTTAAAAATAGTCAAATTGAACTTCAGAATATATGTGCGTGCAATAAAAAAAGAACGGAAATTGATCTTTGATCACAGACACAATTATTTCTCGACAAGGAAATCAAATGGATTACTAAATTTTTGTTTTTATCTATCCTAGTTGTTAATCGAATAATTGCATTTCGATTACTTATATGCTAACTAACTTTACTGCTTTTTTGTTTTGTCTTTCAATACTTATGATTTTATTTAAAATAAATCTCATGAGACATAAGTAATGAAAAAATCTTCTTGTCTTAGTTTTAATAAGAATTATCTTTCATTTAAGTCATTATCAAATACATTTTTTCTTTTTGTTTTACACTGTCACAGATGTCACACATGATACAAAAAAAGATAATGACCTTTTCTTTATTATTATTTTATAAGATATTTGTTCTTCTTTTCTTCACTGAGTGTCGTTGCCAGGATACTGAAAACTAACTGACAATGATACTTTGAAAAAAACCTTCCGGAACAAAAAAAAAAAAAAAATTAGTTGACTGAAGAAAATAAGTTTAAAAAGGTCGTTTTATTTGTCTTTTTACTATTTTGAACCAACAACGGTATTTTAAAAAGAGCCGAAAGAGAAAATTATGCAAATATTCCCACGGCAAAATTTGTAAGTCTATGTAGAAAAAAGAAAGGTGTTATTTGCTTTTATTGTCATTATAAGTGATCATTGACAACATTTTTATACGTTTTCAGATAGTGATAATTATTTCTATGAACGAATTATAATTTAAATGCCACGTATAGTACCTCTTCCACCAATAGTAGAAAACCATGGTAAGTAAAATGTTTATAATTTTTTTTGTAAATTTTAATATAGAAAAGAAAATTTAAAGTATGAACTTTCTTTTGATTGGAAAATAACTTCCTTTAAAATCTGTTTTCTATTATTATTTAACGGATATTCGATAAAAATATGTTGAACATTTTTAGCTGAGGATAACAAAAGAGAACAGAACATATTTTATCATAATCAAATATTTGATATACAATATTATTGTTATTTTTTTCATCGTAGATGAGAACTTTTATGGGCTGAGTGTGCACACTTACCCTTCACATTTATCAAATTTCTCTATTAGACAAGAGTATATATAAATGTGTGAGTGTGTGTAAAACAGATAGACCATATGTCAACTTTTTATTATACTGAAAACATCAAATTATTAAAATAAAAACAAAACATAGTGTTCACATAAGTTTATTTTCATAGAAATGGTAGTTACTAATGCTAACAATTGTAATGAAAATGTTCACACTGAAAATAGCAATGGACAACGACGTCAATCAGTATTAACTTCATCGAATCCAAGCAGCGATAAGTTACCAATTGATTGTATACTAGTCTATCGAACAGACGATGATGATAAAGAATCTGAACGACGAAAAAAATCTGAACTACGAAGAACATTTGAAGAATATCTTCATAAAAAACTAGGTCTTGTTGTCAAACGTATAGTGAGTCGAATGAATTTTTTCAAGTATTGTTAATGTTTTCATTTGTTAAATAGCAATCAAATTCGGAAAAAATTGGATTTGTTAGAATTCATGCTCCATTTGAAGTTCTCTTAGTTGCAGCTGAAAACATACGAATGAAATTACCAATTGAGGTGAATAGAAAAAAAAGAAAAGAAAGTCTATGATATGTTTTAAATAATAATTTTAATAGAAAATTGAAGAAGAGGAAGACGATTTATCAATGACCCAGACTAATCAATCTACTTGGCGCAGTTTTACAAAATGGTTGAAAGCACCATTTCGTCTTGATGAATCGTTAAAACATAATGATCCAGATTATTATACTGCAATATATTCATCAGAGATTGAGAAATTTAAAAGTCTATTTGATACATTGCGAGGTTCAGAAGAGTTATATTTTACAGCAACTGAACGAAGTATATTAACACATGAATTATTATCAAGAGCTGATTTTGGTGACGATGCTGAAGGTGAAGATGATGATAAACAAATACAAAAATAATTCTTATATATTTTCATTTATTGTTGTAGATACACCAAAAAAATTATCAAAAAATTCAAAACGATATGGTAAAAACGAATAAAATTATTTTTAAATTGCCTAAAAAAATTTTCACGACAGTTTAAATTTACGAAGAAACGTTGTCACCTGTCCAATCGGTTTTTCACTACCCTAAGGTTGTATATGTACATGAGAAATCTTCTTAGGCCTTCATAGGAAGAGAGCACCAGAAAATCAGATTTTCACGTCAAACATTTTTTTCACTAAATCGATTCTTTTCAATCCTTCTACATTGTAAAGCATATCGAGTTGTCCATAAAATGATAGTTATTTCTGTTTCAAAATCGAATTTTGACGACAATACAACCGTTTTAGTTTATGCAACAGATGTATTAACAGTACAATATAATCGTATAATAGCTTATATCTAATTTTATCAGTAGAGCTATTCTTAACGGTGTAAATAGATAATATATATATATAAACCCTTATTGAAGCATATACCTAAAATCTAGATTCGTTACACGATGATACGAAAGACTGAATTGGAATCTCTAGTTTTAATATCTAATAGTATAAGTTGTTCTTGTTGTACAGAAATATTATTCTTCTATTATAATGTATCCTACTTATCAGAACTATTTGATGTTAATTTAATATAGCAGATGTTTTCATATATTTGTAGGCAACTGCTTCTATGAAGAAATAAACTTCTTTATACATACATTCCTTTTCAACAATTGATTTTGAAACAGAGAAACTTATCATTTTATAGACAAACCGATTTAGCGAAAAAGATGTTTGATCTAATAATCTGATTTTCTAGTGTCCCCTTCCTGTAAAGACCTAAATGGATTTTTAGTACCTATATTCGGGCTCAGCGTAGTGAATAATCTCTAACTTAATAGCTTCTATTGAAAAAGCTATTGAAAAGTTGCCGACGTTTCCTGGTAAGTGTTACAACCAACAATGAGAATTCTATTGTTTTATTTCGATCGTAACAAGATTTTTCAGGTCAAGAAATCTGAATCTATAGATAATTTATGAATATTCCCGAGAAAAAGTTCAACATGCAAATATTTTTTGTTTTTATAAAAAGCAAAACTTTGTCAAATATTTACCGATTCATCATATATTATTAATCTATATTTGACATGTACACATTATTTTCTTTTTTTTGTTAGGTATTGATCAATTAGTAGCAAAGAAAGCATATACAAGTTATTTTCCTTTACATGAAGTATATTATATTTTATTTTAATTTTCATATATTAATTGTTTTGTTTTATTAAAGACTCTTGACGATAAGGTTGACAATAAATTAAATGATCGAAAAGTAACGTTAAACTATGTTTATAAAATATTCTGACGTATACATATATTTATAAATAATAGAGATTAAAAAAATATTGGGCAACAATGCGGCAATGGTATAAATTTCAACCATTATCTTTAATTCGTTCATACATGGGTGAAAAAGTTGCATTTTATTTTGCTCTCTTTGGTTTTTATAATCAAATGTTAATTCTACCTGCACTTGTTGGTTTAATTATATTTATATATGGTATAAGCACTGTCTTTTCAGATAAACCAACGTAAGTTTCAATCAATTTTATTTTCTATGTGACGAAAACGAAATAAATTTAGATCTGATATTTGTGGGACATTTGGAAATGAGACAAATATGTGTCCAAGATGTGATGATACATGTCCATTCTGGTTACTTAATCAGAGTTGTTTTTATTCAAAAGTAAAATACAGAATTTATTTTTCTTTAAATTTTTATGATGAATATAATTCTTTTAGATATCCTATGTATTTGATAATGCAGCGACAGTTATTTTTGCTATATTGATGTCTCTATGGGCCAGGTATGTAGAAAAATAATACATTGAGTATTAATAATTTTGTTTTTTGAAATTTACATAAATAGATGGTTTATTGAATTTTGGAAGCGTCGGCAAGCAATCTTACAATATGAATGGGTTCGTAGATCGGTTTATTATTATTTTTGAATAAAATTCAAGAAAAATGTTCTTATTTGTAGGATTCAATTGATTTTGAACAACATCTTGAACCAATACGACCAGAATTTGAAAGTCAAGCGACGAAAAAAGGTGGACGACGTCTTAATCCTGTAACTGAGGTATTTATTCTCTAGATAAATTTATTATTTTACCAAACATATATTTAATTAGATAGAAGAACCATATATTTCAACTCAAAAACGAATACCATTCTACATAATGGCAGCTATTGTTGTTATAATTATGGTAATTAAAATCTTATTTTTATGAAATTTAATTAATCATATTTTTAATTTAGATGGCTATTGTATGTGCAACTGTTTTTGCAACAATTGTATATCGTGTTCGTATGGATTACATATTAAAAAAAACAAGTGTTAGTTCATATTCATCAATAATTATAACTGTAACAAGTGCTATTATGAATCTTATATGTTCTATAATATTATCAAAATTTTATTATTGGATTGCAAGAAAATTAACTAATCTTGGTAAAAACAAAAAAAAAGCACATTTTTAATTGATTTAATATATTTGTTTTCTATAGAATTTCATAAATATCAATCGACATATGATGATTCATTAGTAATCAAAATTTATTTATTTCAATTTGTTAATTTCTATTCATCATTATTTTATATTGCTTTTTTTAAAGGAAGGTAAATCATATGAAGAATCAAAATATGATTATATATATATACATATATTTGATTTAGATTTCTTGAATATCCATCGAAATATGGTCTATCAAATTCAAGAGATTTTACTGAACAGGTTGGATATTTCAATTTTTGTTATATTGAATGATTTATTGGTTCTTCGTTTAGTGTGATCCCGCAGGTTGTTTAGTTGAACTTTCTATACAATTTGTTATCAGTAAGGTTTTATAATTAAAATAATTTACCTAATAATATTTTTTTCTTTTTATGAATTCAGTTATGATTGGTAAACAGATTATAAATAATATATTGGAATTTTTTAATGCAACAAGTCGTACTTTAATGCGATGTTCTAAAGGTCATAAATCAAATGAACAAAATCAATGGGAAATAGATAGTCACCTATTTGATTTTAAATCTGATATACTTATTGATGAATATCTTGAATTAGGTAATCAAGATAATTTTTAATTTCATCATTTTTGTTTATATATATTATTTAATAGTTATTCAATTCGGTTTTATTACATTATTTGTTACTGCTTTTCCGTATGTATAAAAAAAGAGGAACTGATTTACTTAAACTTTAATTTTTATACACAAATTCTAGACTTGCACCGTTATTTGCTCTGTTCAATAATCTTATTGAAATACGTTTAGATGCATGGAAATTTTTATCTAAATATAAACGACCTATTCCATTCAAAGCATCTGATATTGGTATATGGGGTGATATCATTTCAGGAATATCGTATTTTGCTGTTCTAACTAATGTAAGAATTTGTTTTAAAAACTGTAATAATATATCTATGAATTAATTCAGGCAATAGTAATTGCTTGGACATCAGAATTTATTCCAAAAATGGCATATCGTTCACTCAAATCCACAGGAGGAAGTCTTGATGGTTATGTAAATTGGACACTATCATCATTTCCTATTTCTGCTTACAATGTAAGTGGTCACTTTCCACTTGATCTGCCAACAAATGCGCAATTCTGTCGGTAAAAAACAAAAGAACAAAGAGAGCCATTTTTTATAAATTAAATTTCTTTTGTTATTTTATTTAGTTATCGTGATTTTCGTTCAGAAGATGGACCACTGTATTCTCAAACATCGGAATATTGGAATGTAACAGCTGCTCGACTTGCATTTATTATTGTTTTTGAACACGTTATTTTTTTTATTATTTATTTAATGGATTGGCTTGTACCAGATGTACCAAAATCAATTCAAAATAAGATTAATCATGAACGTTATATTGATCAACGAGAACGTTGGGCAAGTAAATTAAGTGAAGATCATTTAAAACATGCTGTCGAAATATCCGACGGATTGAGAGGCGAGTTCAAGATTCCAAATGCAATTGCTGAGATTCTTGTTAATGAAACTGATACTAATTTGAATCATCGACCAAGAAGCAAAGGAAAAATTAGAAAAGATTTATCATCAGAAAATCCATAATGGTTCGATATTTATTTTATTTTATATGCAATTCTTTTAACTATTTTATTAATCATTTAATGAACTTTTGTTGGCAATACGATAAGTCCCATAACAAGTGATATATTACATATTTTTATGCAAATTGAACTTTTTATTCAATATATTTTCTTTTTTTCTACAGATTAATAAATATTTTTAAACATTTACCCCTTTTTCTTTCTACAACTGAAATAGTAATAAATAACCCATGTCATCGAAATCGGGGGAAAACCGACGATTTAATTGCGATTTAGCACCCGATTAATCGCGATTTGATAGACGATTAGTTTTCGAAAAATCGCGATAAAATCGTCCGAAGTGACGATTATTTTTGGATGAAAATACAGTCATTATAAATGACAGAATTTTAATAGACTAGATAATTTAACATCATTTTATACTGCACTATCCATGCCACTAAAAAACCCGAAAAAATTGGCGATTTTATCGCGGTATAGAAGCCGATTAATTGTGAGATCTATCGCGATAAAATCGCCAAAATGAAGTACTTTTTGCCGCTTTTTGTATCGGAAAGTCTTGATTCGTAACGATTCCCGCAAAATAAGCATTTCTTACTGGCGATATAATCGTCAATATTTTGAAAAATCGCGATTCATCGCCCAAACCTTGGCGATTTTGAAGACATGGGAATTGTTGTAATAATATTTTTATGAAAATACATAAAACTTTCTACGTTACAACAGATTTTCGATGGTAAAGATTCATTTTATTCTCGTACAAAATAGTATTACCATGATCATATTTTGTATTTAATAAATAATATAACTAATTAACAATAATAAAAGACATGTGGATGTAAATGAGCGTATGTAATTAAAAAATATGTCTTTATCATCTTAAACCAAAATCTTAAAAAATAAACAAGATCCTCATTCTTTAAGATAGAACAATCAAGAGAGTAGCACTAACATAGTAAATCTCTCAAGCACGAACGATAAACAAACATCTTTAGAATAAGATGATACTATGCATTTCCGTTCTTATTAATTAACTTTGAATTCTTATGTAAATGCTATAGTAAGTATATATATTGATAATCAGTGACTCATCATTTAATCTTGCTATTTTTTCTACATTCAAAATATACTTCATTTATTAAACATGATTGTCAATGATGTCGATTTTGCTAAATTTTCGATAGAAACTACTGTTCTAATGTCAGATTACATATATTAAACTAAGTTACCATTGAATCTTGTCAGTAAATTCGATGGTGTTATCGTTTCATTGTAAATGAGAAACAACGAATATTTCATTATAATAATCACTAATAAACTTTTCAACAACTATGTTTAAACATTTATAATTATAAATGAGTACAAAATTATTATTCATCGGTAAAGCAATTCAAAATATTGACTTCTTCTTGTTTATTATTAGATTAATAACATAAAAAAATACAATATTCTTCTATTAAAATTTATTATGATTAAAGAAAATGTATGCTATTGGTACATTAAAACATAACAGTTGTAAATGAGTAATTGACTAAATTAAATAAATAAACAAATAGCTTTTCGAAAGATTATCATTTTCAACAAGTGAAAAGGGAATTTTTCCAATTTTGAATCTTTATACATCTACTAAAAATCTATGTTCCGGCGTATAATATGGTATTCGTTTGCCTAGTACAAGTCTTATTTCATCAACCAATCGACACCAATTTGACGTCAGTGTACCAGCATGTAAATCAGCATTAGCTTCGATAAAAAGATCAGTAAGAAATTCCAATACAATTTCTCCACGGTGTTCTAAACTCATACCCAGCAATGTCGAGAAAACTATATTTCTTGTTGTGTTAATACTTAATAATTTGTAATATTTTTTTTTATTTCTATTTACTTCTTCAAATTCCTTAAATACATTTGTATCTTCTGAATTAATATAGACGTTTGATATTTTAGCTCGACGAGCATGTTCATCGAATAAACTAAAATATCTTTGTAAATGATAAGCCTGTGACATTTCTCTATTTAGTACTTTATCAGATCGACGTACATAAACAGAAATGAATGGATGATGAAGATCGATTGAATGTGGATCAAAACTTTCAGTAATTCTTCGTTGTACATGATTTAATGATTGAGAATTATATCGCATTAAATAGAACAACAATTGAGAACGATACCAATTAAACGATCGATTTGCAAATATTGGAGGATAGACAGGTTTGAACCAATGATCAATATTTGCATTAATTAAAGTGACTTTTTTAAAATCAAGGTCAGCTGGAACCGAGCAATTGGAGATTGGAAGGAATATACAATCAGGATTTGACAACGGACAACTACCATAATGCTAAAATAAAAAAAAAAGTTCCATATTCCATAACTGATATTTATTGAATAAATAGTTTAAGATTATGATCTATTCTATACTATATAGAGTACTCTTCTATGTATATCATAAATAATATTAATAATTGTAGCCATTAAAAGTTTCAAATGAAAGAATACGATGATGATTTAATATACTTATACTATTGAATGTTTATGATCTGTTTTGACTAGATATATATTCTCATCAAATTCAAGTTTTTACAAAATTGATGCTCAACTAACGTTGATTCAATTTGATATTTTCTCACCCAATTTCCTGGTACTTGATAGAGGGCAATTCTTCCTTCACCTATTGCGGTACCAAATGCCCATAGAATTTGATGTATAGTTGATCCAAAACCAGACCAAGCATATTTTTGTATAATAGCAAATTTTTTATTCTCACAATTAGCTGGATTTTGATGATCATAGATCCATTTTTGTGCTTGTAATGTAGATTCTATCGAAAATTCATTTATAGTTGTTTGACTACAAGAATCCATTGATTCATTTTTTAAACCACCGACATAAGTTACTGTACGACATGGTAATGCACGTGCTATACGATAGTAATCTTCATTTGCTAACCGCATTGACCAAAGATGAGTTTTATTATAGGCAAAAGAGAATGACTTTAAACTCTCTTCTTTCATAGATTGTAACTCTTTATTTAATTTTACATTTGAGAATAAATTAATAACATCGGATTTTTTATTTAGTATATCACGACGGGAACCAACATGGACGCCAAGTAGAAATACAAGAAAGAATGCTCCCAGAAGAAGAGGTAGTCGAATAAATTTTGGTGCCATTGTTAAACTATACAAAAGATTTCAGTCCAAATTACAGTTGATAATAATTGGGTTGGTTCAAACGCATACAATACCTAGTCGTTAAGTTCAACATCGAATATTATATAGTTTTTAAAAATATTGTAAAATATTAATTTAACGCTTGTTTGAATTCTATGATCTATATTGGTTTTAAAAAATAGGAAGAAGTATAGACAACGCGTTATTGAAATAATATGTCCAATAATTGAAACCGTTCTTCCTACTAAAAAAGGTGAAAAAAATACGAATGTAATGAATCGTTATTGACACATTACAATTTCAATTAAATATTAATTTTTTAGTAAAATGAACAACACAAAAACGTTCTATTATAAAGAGAAATCTTATAACTTCGCAAAGTAAATAAGAAATACTTTTCTTCAACAACAAGTAAAAAAGACTTAGCGAGGATTCAATTGTCTTATATGATTATCTGTGACTTTGTTCTCTACAAGAACAGAATCGTAATAGAAAGAATTCGCTTACATGTTGCTGTGCATCTAGAAAGAGTTAAATGGAATATATTTTTCGTTCTTTGTGATTATTTCTTCTTTATTTGAGAGGGAAGCATTTCTCTATTCATTGATTCTATGATCCTCTGTTGACTAAATTCAATCCTATTATTGTTATGCATATTAGGTTGAATCAATTATCATAATATATTTTGTCTAACACCGTAATCTCTTTCATTTCTTCACATACTATTGATATCGTTGAGTATTTTGTTTTTTTATTGCGCATAATCGTTGAGTATTTAAGGAGTGAATATTATGAAGCGAAAGGATGATTCTTGTTTTATGAAAGAAGAGGAATAAAGAACAAAAAGGCGCGACAGCAGTATGTATAGAATTTTGTATAAGTAAAAGAAATCTTAACCAATTATAATTTTTAAGCCTTTCAGAGAACAGACAGATCGTCTGAAATACTTATTAATTATTCTAACTGCGCACAGTTATAATAAATACTATATTATTATCGCATTTTATACTTGTATAAAGTATATATAAAGCTAGACTCCTATTCATTACTGTTTCATTGATTAGTACTATTACTTATTGTAGACTGTTCACTGATTCATTGAATTAATCTTTAATACAAATATTTGTCTTAGAATTTGTAGTTAATATTGAAAATGACTAAATTTCTCAAGTTCTTCTTGACAAAATAACAATAATTCAGTTTTTTATGAAGCAGTTTATATTATCTTTCAAAAAAATGAGACTGAAGTTAGCATTCAGTCTTGGTATTTATGGAAGAATGAAGTCTCTTCAAATCTAAACATTTCTGCCAAAATCTTCCAAAATAAAAATATCTCAGTATAAGTACTTTTTGATAAATAGATATAAATTCTTCTATATTATGTCTCTGTATTAAATTCAATCATAGATATAATCAGCGTAGGATTGTCATATGACTCCTTATCTAACTCTTACTATGTTATATTTAAAATGTCCTAGAAGTATGAACATGTTTTCTTTCAGAGTTTTAAGAAAAATTTTACGTCTAAAGATAGATGACTTAGAAAAGAATTACACATAGATTTTTTTTAAGTCCGATCGAATTAGTATTAGATTAAAACAGGAACAATATAAAACGGAATACAACAATGTAAATTACTTGAGAATGTCAATCTTCCAAAAACAATCACTTACCATGTATCTATGAAAAGAATTACTGAATGTATTATGTAAATAAATCTGTTGCATTTTTTTGATTCTTAAAGAAAAAGTCGATTAGTTTTCGTTGCATATGTCATTTGTGAATTAATAGTTTTCAATTAACAGCGGATATTTGTCAAGAAATCAGAAATTGAGAAAAACGCATAAAAAGATAGTCCATCTTCAGATATTCCAGTAATGATACGGTTTTTATCTGACATTTCTATTTTGATGACATCTACCATGTACTTCTCTAAAGAAATGGCTTTTTTCGATCAGGCATCTCAGATTTCTTTGTCTAAACTTATCTTACACATTCTAATATTTTTTTTATTTCCAACAGCCTGTGATGGCGCAGTACGTGATCGCGTTCGATTTTATGTGTCGGGTTTCTTGTTATTATATATAAAGTTAAACATCTGTATGTCGCGATTTTTCTGAATTGTTGAACTTGTGATTCTCTTTTTTCCAGTAACATGGTAAATATTTTAAGAAGACGGGGTCATTCACACATTGCATTCTGACGCGTTCTTTTAAGGAAATAAAAAAGTTTTAATATATGGCACGAGCGTGAAGCAAATAATATATTTTTTGGCCCTTGTTTAGCTCATATCTCTGTAATACGTCGTGGAATCAAGCGGAAAATTTTACCACATCTTCTTCATTATAGTTTCGACAGGCTCTGAAAATTTTATGCAATTTGAATAAGTTAGAACTGAGATCGATTTTTGACGAGTGTAGACTTTAACTAAAAATAAATTCTTTTTCCTTACTTTTTACTATAGTTCACTTGGTTATGAATACATAATTTAAGATAATAAACGTCATAAATATATTTTATCAGTTATATATATATTAAAAATTATAATAACATGTGGTTTTTTTTCAGAGAAATAAAGTGATAAAAGAAAGAAAATATTCTACTAACTGTTATGAGAATAAAATATGGCAAACACATCAAACGTGTATGATCATGGTAGTAAAAATGCGTTTTTCTATATTTTTCTCTGCTTGGCAGCATTACCATCTTTTATTTGTGAAGAAAAGAAAAGAAAAATTAAAACTCATTTAGTTCTATTTTGTTTATTTAGTTACATCGAGAGGAACAAAAGATGAAGAAAAAAACTGAAGTATTTAATGGTTGAGTTGATAAATTTCTGCACCATGTGATTCTATAAGCGCAAAAAAGTACATCCACAAATACATAGAGAAAGTATTATTTTATTCCATTGTATATTGCAAATAGTTTGTAAAAACGATCTTCGATAGACATTTAAACGAAAAAATTAGGTAGAACTTCTTCCAATGTAGTTCGTGTTATTTCTATAAAATAGATGTTAGATTGAAAAGAATTTGATTAAATTATATAAAATATATGATATAACATTTTTATAGGATGAGTAATTGTACTTTAAATGATTAAAAGTATATATTAAATAAAAACGATGAAGTTTGTATTATAAACTGAAGTTGATGGGTTTGTTTTTAGAGATTTTTTCATGTCAATGATTAATTATACATTTTATATAAATGTATTTATACTCATGTGCTTATTTATGAAATATCCATTTTTAATATTAATCGAATAAATATTACCAACTGCTTTGTTCTTCAATATGTAATAGTTTAAATGAAATTATAGCATAAATATATATAATATTACAGAACTTGTATATTTTTTCCAGTACACATGTTAATAAATCACGATGCTATCTCTGAATTGCCAACATCTTATTATAGCATTATTTATTCGTGGTAATATTAACTCATTGAGGACGGTGTTATTTTTAAGAAAGCAAACGAGAATTTTGAAAATCTGGAAGAATATATTTATTCATATCGATAACCAAAAACGTGTAAAATGTTTTGTTACATTCTTTATTTGGAAATCGTAGTTCAATACCACCGAATAAATATATATGTATATGTATTAGTGAAATCAAAGAAATGAGAATATTCTAGAAGAAAAATAATTCATGATGGAAGAGAGAATATATACGAAGATAAATAAAAAATAAATCGTACATGATAGTAGTGAAAGATTACGTAAGGAAAGACTAGACTTGAAGGCTATCAAGTGTGAAATGAAAAGAGGTGAATGAGGTTAGAATACGAACGATAATATAAAAGATTAACGGTCTATGTGCTAGCGCAGATCAAAAGAACATCTTACGTGGTATACACAAACTAATTATGAGATGATCTGAAGCTGGACTTATATATGATTTCATAGACATTGATATATTGTTGTTGAACAGTTAATTGGACGTATATACTGTAAATTAGTTGGGCATGATTTGTTACAATATTCAAAGTATTTATAAAATAGATAGATTTGATATAGAAATCATGATTTTATATTGATGGTCAGTAGTATATAAATAAAACAAGTTGTATATACACTACTATTCTATATAAAACACTCTTGAAGAAGTTTAATCAATAAAATAATTATTTATAAAAATACAATAGTCCTTTGATATGTAGTAAGCATTTATAATAGGATACAAATTAAATGGTTAGTTTTTTATTCAAAATGATCCGTAAAAGGCAATCAGTAGTTTATTATGAATTATCAGTCAAAAATTTGAATTGTCAGTAGAATAATTAATGGTCAGTGCCTTTTGGATTTAATCAGTAATTTAATCGATTTATCAGTATCTAAACTAAAATATCAGTAGTTAATTATGTTTGATCAGTGAATTATCGCATTTATTTCAGTCTTCATCGTTCTGTAAAATCCCTCGATATTACATATATGTTGTTCTACTTATTGTCTTTGTTTCTGTCTGACTTACTTTATAAATACTATTGCATCTATTCTATATCTTATAGTTATGTCATAGATAAACATATAATCTTCAGCGATTGTTATTTCAATTCAAGGCTCCCCTCCTCTGGATAAAAAAAAAGCAATTTTCGTCAGAAATACCGATTTGAAGATTTATAAATAGTGTTAGGCCATAGTCTGTACTTAATAAAGCCAAAATTTTTGTTTTCAATTAATAACAATTTTGAAAAAATATATTTTTTTATACATTGTTTTCTGTTTTAATGTCCAATAAGAATAAAAAGATCTATACAATGTTGAAATATATATATATATGTATGTATATATGAGCATAAAAAAGTGCTATAGAGAATGAAAAATAAAAAATAATGAATAAATGTTTAATATATATTTTTTTAACAACCGGGTAATGTTCCATGAAAACTTTCATCAATTGCTTGTACTAATTTATGTCGAACAAGAAATGAAGCAATACAATCAGCAACTTGTTCAGGTGCATCTTCATGTACAGCATGACCACTTTTAGGAACAACATGCATTTGAAATTTACCTTGCATTTGACCAACAGTTAAATCACGATCAAGACGATCAACACCAGCTAATAAAAGTAATTTTGGACATTCACATGATAGAAATAAATTTGATAAACCTATAAATAAAAATAGAATTGAATATTTAACAAACAAAATGTCACAAACCAGAAAACCATCCTTTCCAAAATTGTTCGGTTTTAGCAAGATCAATTCTCCATGTGTACTTTTTTGTATCATTTGAATCAACTGTAGGAGGAGGTTGTTGAATATCTACCGAAGATTTTTGTTCATTTTCTTCCGAATCTTCATCTTCTTCTTGAACAGTATTACATTGATGAGAAACTGGTGGAAGTGAGGCATTAGATGCTGTTGTAGAGGGTTCTGTTTCATTTATTTCAGCAGTATTTATTGGTTGTATTTGTCCAACGATAGATATACGAGCTGATTCAACATTACGTACTTGTCCACTTCGAATCATATATTCAATAGCTTGTTGTTGTGTTGAAAATTGTTTTGGTCTTGAACTAAGAAAACATTGCATTGAACTTAAAGATTCCAATGCACTACCTAAAAATTTAAATACACATAATATTTTATCATTAAAATTCTTAGTTCTTCTCACCTTCAACAACATCAATAACACAAAGAGCATTGATCATTGATGGATATTCTTTTGCAACATGAACAGCAAGTGCACCACCTAGAAAATAAAATGATTTTTAACAAAAATTTACTTTTTTCTATATACCCATTGAATGTCCAATAAGAAAAATAGGCGGTTTATTATCTTCATTATATAAATGATGTAAAATTTGACATATATCATTTGTAAGTACTTCAATACTTAAATCACTTTCATCTGTAGTTCTTGTTTCACCATGACCACGAATATCTATTGCAATACATTGACATCGTACAAGATTAGTTACTGCTTTTGAAAGAACAGCCCAACTTAAACCAGAAAAACCACCACCATGTAAAAAAAATAAAATAGGTGATAATGAATCATTTGTATTACGTGAATATAAACAAAAAGTATTTTTATCAATTGTTATATAACGTTTATCATCGAAATATGTATTCCATTCAATAGGTGTATAATTACGAGTAGATGATGGTGATTTTTTTTGATTATCAGATGATAACTTTTTAGATGATGATGATGGACCAATAGGTGGGAGTGTTTTAGAAAGAATTTGTTTACGTAAATTTGACATCTGGAATGAGAAATATGATAAAGATTCGTTATTATTTTTTTTTCTCTTCTATTCTGTTCGTTTATGTTTGTATGACTATTCTATTTTCCTTTTTTTTTTGTTTATTTTTTTCTTTCTTTCAGTGTTTGACACGGTTTATCGAAAAAAAAAAGACTTTTCATCATTGTTTAACATATGCTAGCCATATAAATCATGAAACGATGGCAACATAAATGTTGAAAAGAAAAGTCAACAATAATAAACACCAAATAACGATAAAAAGAAAAAAATGCTAGTGACTTCCAGAAGAGAAGAAGAAAGAAAAATATCAATGACTTTAAAAAAAAAGAAGACGAAGAAAAAAAGGAATGAAAATAGAAAAATTATAAATTTGTTCATTCTCCATCTTGATAACCTTGACGTTCTAAATCAGCACCAATAAGTCTTGCATGAAGTGTTTGTTGATCTTGAGTTAATACTTCTTGAGTATCAACATCTGATAAAATATCAGAAGGTAATCGTGAATAGAGAAGTTCAACATCAGTTGGTTTAATATGAGCATGTAATTGCGCAATATCATTGCTTGAATCAGCAAGATCCATAGTTTCTGTTATATATGTAGTATCATCAACATTATATGCTGATGGACGTGAAGCACCAGTAGCTAAACGAGCATATAATTCTTCCTTATCAGTCAAATGAGAATAATCAGGTTGTGAATGACGATCAACATTGACATTACTTGAGCGAGTTACTACTGTTTCTTGTTGAGTAACAACAACACTTTGACGAGTTGTAATTGATGGATCGGCTTTGAAACTTTGTCTATATTTAAATAAATTATAATATATTTTAGTTCTATATATATATATGGTACCTTTTAACAACATAATTTGGTTGTTGGCTTAAACGTGATTGTTGTTTAGTTTTTTTTAATTCGGCTAATGTACGATCATCAGGTCGAATTCGTGCAACAAAATAATCCAAGAAACCACCGATAAGAATTAATAATCTTTGTGGTAAAGTAGTTAAAAATGTTTTTTGTTGTATTTTATGAAGTACAATATCATTAATTTGTTTAATTTTAAGTAAAAAAAATACAACCAACATTCTGAACCATATTAATGATGATTGAACCGATTGAAATACATAATTATAGAATGAACTGATAGGTGAAAAAGTACGTCCCATATATCCTGTTGTTTTATCCATACTACGACGTTGATCTAAAAAAGGATTTCAATAATAAATTTTAAATAAAAATAAATTCTTAGTTTTTAACATACATCCTGGTGCACGTAATCCACACATTGAAAATACAGAATCAGCTACACCAGATGCTTTATTTACTGTGGCTGATGCGACATTTGAAACCTTAAAATACGATAAAAAATAGAAATAAAGCTATTGAAATTAATTTTCTTACAGTTTCTTTGCCATGTTGAATTGTTGAAGAAGTTGTATCTTTAACTGAATTTATTGCATTACGAACTGGTTCAGTTTTTTCATTTAATGTATGAACAACATCTTCAGTTGGTGTATTGATAGCAGGATATTTAGATTCAATCTGACGAATTTTTTGGGCAGCAAAATCATCAATTACACGTACTAGATTATAGGAAATATAATAAATCATTTATTTTCTAAAAAAAAATTTTACCTGATCCACGGAATGGTTTAACAAGGGGATTAGCAATTGTAAGAGCAATTTGTAATGACTTATCAGCAACTGTTTCGGCTACACTGCATGGAAGCCGAATGAATACACTTGTATCCTTAGCTTTAGCATACACGTCTTGAAGTTTATTAGTCGATGAACGAACAACTTTTAAAATATTTATATATAAGAGAATTAAGATGAAAAATAATTTTTATTTTTACCTGGTATATTATGAAGACATGTGAGAGTTTGAAAGCCGAACATTTTTCAAATGAATAAGAAAGAATATCGGTCTACAAATATCGTAATTATATACAAAAAAGATTAATATGAAAATTCAAATGTCTATTCTTCTCTTTATATACAGACTAAGATATAGCCACGTATAGGTTAAAGAGCAAATTCCAAAGAAACATCGATTACTAAAGAAAAAGGATAAGTAAATATATGATCAGATAAAAAGTGGACCATAGTCAAAAGTAATAAAACCAATGAATACAAAGTAAAAATTGTATGACTAAGACGTAAAATAAGTATAACTCAGATAAAAATATCTTTTACAATGAAATTCTTTTCTGTAAATATAAAAATAACAAGAATAATCTAGAAATAGATGACGCATTCTTATCTGTAAATATTTGGTACGTTTTTCGACGATATATTTAAACGAATTACAGAATGAGGCTAAATATAGTAAAGAAAGAAAAAGGATTGTAATAGAGAGGCAATGAAGTTCGATATATGTATACATGAATTTATACCTCGATCGTTGTTTTCGGAATTATCTCTCTCTCTCACACAACTTTATATATATATATATACTAGGTCTAACAACTGACTATTTGTGTATGTATGTGTATTTAAAAATAATTTCGATTGTAGTATCTTATAAAATATATGAAAGATACAAGCTATCTTGTCATCACTTGAAAACATGTTGAGAAAAATAAGTTTTACTGAATAACTTTGATTAACGCAGAATATAAAAGATGTACCTTTGATATAGACAAAAACTCTCTTAGTTAATATTAGCGAAACATCATTCTATTCATCCATGTATATTTATAAAAATCTCTTGCTCAATATCTGTTATATTTGAAATATATTAAATCACAAAAAATCAATCTGTTTATTTCTTTTTTTCTATCTAATTATACTACATTAATACGAAAGGTCAACTACGGTTATACTATTTTATTTAAATATTCATTTCACGTTCGTAACCTTATGAACAATAACAGTCTGTGTCTGTTGTGTACGTGAAAAAAATTAGAATGGAATTAAAATGATTATTACAAAAATAGAAAAACAAATAAAATCTTTTTGTAACCATCAAATGTTTATTTTCAAAAAATAAGTACAAGTACAATGCTAAGCCATGCTACTTGTCTCGATTACTTTTATCTACAATAAAAATCTGAATTCTATATATATACTAACAAATATAAGTACTTGAAGTGATCGGGGATGCATTTTACATAAAACAACATTAAAAAAATAAATCTATACATTCAAGGTAATTTTTTAAGGTAGAGACTCGTGAAAACTGTCATATTTTGAAAATAAAATTCATAGCTTTATTTTGATTGCTCATTTGCATAGGCTGAAAGTAATTGTACAATACTATCAAAACCTCGCTGTTTAGCAATTTGCATCGGTGTCATGCCACGACTATCAGACCATGATATATCAATTTTACCATTCTCAAGTAAATAACGAACACATTCAAGAGAATTATAACTGACTGCCTAAATATAAAAACGAAATAGTAATCAATTTTGATATGAATAATTATTTACTAATAAGAGTGGTGTTCGACCATCATAATCAGCTTGATCAAGATCCGCACCTGCTCTATGCCAGGCTTTTAATCGATTAAACTGATTATTTTTAACACAATTACATAAATACATTCCAATTTCACTTGGTTTTAATGTAGATGTTAATTTCGCTCCATATCCAACTAATAAATCAATCATATCTTCATTCTCTTGAAGGATTGCATAAAAAAGTGCTGTAAAACCAACTTGATCAGGTTCATTAACAATAGGTTGATCATCGGCAGATAAACGAAGTAATAATTCCGCACAATTTAAGGCACTATGTTTAGCGCAAACATGAAGTGGCATTGAACCACTTGGTAATAAGACATTAAAATTAATATTAGCTTGTGCTTGTCGTATTTTCTGTAGAGTAGCTATATCATCTGCTTGAGCACATGTTGCAACTAACCAAGGTAATAAAGATTGACGAAATTGTAATGATTCCTTAAATAAATAAATAAATTAATTTTTTTAATCGAAACAATAAATTTTAGAAATAAAAACCTCATCTGATTGATCTATGGGTGTATTTAATATCCAAGTTAGATTAATTGTTGGACATACAACTTTATTTAAACTTGCAGACATTTCACCACGTAAACTCTCAGCCATTTTTACTTTCATTAATTTCATATCAGATGAATATTTACCAAGAACATAGGATAACTTTAGAAATGAAAAATAATAATAATCTTATTTTTATTTAATAGATCAATTTTCTTACTTTCATTAAAGCGGCTTCAATTGTCATATCGGATCCTGAACAAACCCCCATTTTTTGTAACGCTGTTGCACTTTCATATGCATAATAAACACTTCCTTTCGCACATTGTGTGCAATTAACAATAAGAACATCTCGTTCAGCTGCTTTTCGTAATTCTTCAATTAGATCCGGTCGATTTGATGGTAAATTTCCTGCTCCATATGTTTGTAAAACAACAGCTTGAATAGGTGGTTCAAGAAATTGACGCATTGTTAAATATGTTATACCAGGAAAAAGACGAAGAAGTGAAACATTTCGATTTAAATTTGTATGAACATTAAATGGACCATCAGATGAACGATCAAATACTATATCCCATTTAACTAAAAAAAACTAAATATGAATTCCTGTTTGATACTATCTCATATTTATACCTTGAATTTTAGTTCGAAATTCTGCTAATGTTGGACAATTATATGATTCAAATGCATTTAAACCTTCGCAATCAGTTTTCGTTACACGATTACCTCGATAGAGTCGATTTCGAAAATAAATCGTAACCTTAAAATAGTTTTAAATAAAATATTTAATGATTTTGTTATAATATTGATACAAACTTCCGGTATACGATATTGTCCAGCTAATAATAAACTTCCAATAAGATTATCTCGACCATCACTTCGTGTTTCGAAGATAGGAATCTAATTGAGAATAATCATATCAATTCGAATCCATAACAAGTTTCACATACTTGTGATCCTGTAAGTACCACCGGTTTTGATAGATTTTCAAACATAAATGAAAGAGCTGCCGCTGTATAACTCATTGTATCAGTCTATTTTTTAAAATTAATCAATATTCTTCTTTTTACTAGCATCTATAGTACTTACACCATGAAGAACTAAATATAGAAAAACAAATCAATTTTATTTAAAAATAATTTATTATTAACTTACTGACAAATCCATCAAATAAATTATAAACTTCCTAAAAAAAATATATATATATAAACAAATTGTTTTCTATTTTATTACTTTAATGTCAAGAGCAATATGTATATAATTATCATATGTCATATTTGTTGAGTCAAGTAATGGAACATATTCTTTTATATAATATGCAATGCATTCTTCATTTGCAAGTCTGAAATAAATAATTAAATAAGATTTTTTACTATATAAATTTTAAAATACTTAACGGTAAATAAAGAAAAGATTTGTCTGGATCAATGACATTCATTGTTTCCGCAAATTGAACATTATGCATAATATTCATATCACGTAATGCATCAGGTAAATAGTCTGTTACGGGTTCATAGGCATTACGTAATACTTTCATACCAATTGTACCACCTGAAACAATAAGAAATTATAATTATGTTTGTTTTTCTCGAAATAGAAAATGCGGAATTTTCTAATGCAAACCTGTGTAAAGAACGAGTACTTTTGGAATTGTTAGTTTCGATAATGTTTTTTGAGTTTGGGCATTTAATAATGTTACATGTTTTAAAAGTACATCGCTTGATGAACGTCTCATACTTACTGGCGAAAGTAAATCCACACTCGGGTTAGTAGACATTTTTTAGTAAATTAACTAGAATATATGAAATAAAATTATTCATCTGTTGAAGTTTTTTTTTTCTTTATTTTTCTTTTTATGTAAAAAAAATGGAAATGATCTTTATTTGAACTTGTTTTTCCTGGAAGGAATTCATACAAAAAATAATTAACAATATGAGACATAAAGAAGAAAAAAGAACACGAGAATTTTTATACGTCACGATGTTTTTCTGTGAAAACATGCGCATGATTTTACCGCTACTTTATAAACAAATGCTTGGCACTAATCTTTTGTTTGTAGTTTTTTTTTTTGAGAAACGTATTTTTTCTTTGTTCTATAGTTAATACTGAGAACGATAATGCAAAGATAAATGAACGTACACGCACACACAACATGAATAGTATAAAAGTAGGAAACGAGAGAAAGAGAAATGCATTCCATGCTTGATGGAGTCTTATAGTCAATCAACATGTATACACAAATAAACGTATAGAGAGAAAAAGAACTAGAGAATTTCTACTATATCATTCTACGTTTCAGATTTTGTTCAAGAAAAAAAGACAAAAAAAAACAGTTTAACATAAATTGTCTATAAAAAAAAGTGAATAGTCAATTGAACATAGATGAGTAAAATAAATGTGTTCGTTATAGTCGTTATTATTTAAGCTTTTTTTGATTTGTTTGGTAATTTCGATGTTACTCTAAAGAGAAAATAGAAAGAAAAAAATATGAGATGAAGTCTATTGTTAAATAAACTTACTTAGCTAATAATTGATTGATTTGATCAAGTATCATTTTAGCTGTTCGATCAATTGGAACCTTATTAATAGAAAAATTTTATTTCAAATGAAACTTCTAAATACTTAATACTAACTTGATATACTTGATAAATTTTTGGTACAGTAAATACGAAAATTAGTCCAACAAGTGTAAATGTTAATGCATTCATGGAGAGACCAATATAGAAGAAGACAAAAAGTACAAGACCAAACTAAATAGAATAGAACAAAAGTATATTTAAGATAAATTAAATTAAATATTGTTTATATTAATTTACAAGTGTTGAATTAACTAAATTATTCCATAAGAAAATATTTCGTGCATGTCTTAATAATTTTGTTCCATTAACATGAATAGCATGAGCTATGGCTTGAGCTTGTCGTTCTGAAATAGTCACATCAGATGGAAAGATTGAACTAAATAATCAATTAATAATTAATTTCTTTTTCTATAAACAAATTAAATTCTTCTTACTCAAAGATGTCATCTTGAACACGACCGACAAATGTTGCCATAACATAATTATACATTTTATAGAGACCAATGACAACAAGAAATGCAAGTAACCAAAAGGAAACGGCAGCCAATGATGATAAGAACATAAATGTAATTATTACAGACAATGATAAACCAAAAACAATGCCAGATTGAATTGGATTGCGCCAATAAATAAGATTATTACCTGGAAAAAAATATTTTTAAAATAAATTGTTAATAAATATTTTCAAAATCTGTATACCTTCTTTTGGCATCATTTCATTGACCTTTTTCTGAACTTGAACAAGCGAATGACGAGTTTGGTCCCCTAAATCAAATAAAGGAAAAAAAACTTGGTCTTTTGCCAACAAGAGCATATAATCTTGTTAACTTTCTCTTTTCTTGCCATTCGTCACAATATTTCTAACCCCGAGGAAAAAAGAAAATACTATGAATAGACCCAGTCCGAAGTACATCTATCATCATACACGGTCTTTTTTTTCCTCTTCTTCTCTTTTGCATCTTCTATGAACATTGACAAACGGTGATGATGAAAAAAGGAATTACCAAAGGGAAATCGTGATGAATAGTATGCGCTTATTCATACATACAGCGATCTGTCACTTGGTTGGGAGAAAGCACAAGAGCATAAATGCTAATATGTTTTTTTTCTCTACATATATGTATTAACTACAGATTGCTTAAATCAGATTTTATGTATGGAAATTAAGTCGATAGTCGCCGGCCAACAAACCACGTACTAAAGAATGAAAATGAGAGGAAAACATGTCAAAGATAATTCACGTTGAATATAAGAAGAAAGGAAACTAATCCCAAGGTTATTTTTTATCCATTATTATCTATTCCCATGGCTAATTTTTTTTATTTGTGTGAAAAAAATAGCTATGTGACTAGGAAGAATTAAATAGAAACTAGAATAAGCGCAACTAGCGGGATGTTGATAAAAACTAATTTATTTAACATACAGTGTTGTTTAACGATTCTCTTCGTTTTTGTTATAATATCTTCCGTTTGTTGTTGTGCTCGTTTAAATTCTGTTTTTCCTTTATTTAAAGAATCAACAACTGGATTATTAGTTTCCATATGATGAACTGTTGGAGTTGATGGTGGATTATAATCTGGATTTGTTGAATTAATTGTTGGTGTTTCATTTGTATCGTAACGTGGTGGAATTACATCATCATATGTAGTTTTATGAAGTTGTTCTGTTGTTGAATCGATTTCATGACTTTGAGAGTCCATTATGAAGATTTTTGAATGTAATGAAATGAAATGAAAAAAATCTAAAGTATATTATCATAGGTTAAAGTTGCAACGTATTTATGAGTCATATTTTTTTTCAAGAGAAGGAAGAGGAAAAAGGTAGATGAAGAAAATAATTTGTACTACATCCTGATAAAACTTAATAGATACTGTCGTCGTTGGGTTATGAAACGAAGAAAAAGAAAAGAATGATTTTTTTTTCGAGCGACACACGACCACATCATCATCATCATCGCGGACGGAATATTCTTCTCTCTACGTTCTCTCTTTCTCCCTTTCGATCTTCTCTTATGCCGTGGTAAAAGCGACATGTCGATGGGTTTTTTTTATTAAGTACTAAAAGTCGACGTACATCTCTCTCTCTCTCTCTCCCTCTTTATGTGTATATAGAGAAGTTGGATAAAAAATGACAGACAAAGACAGAAAAGAAAAAGAAAAAATGTAATCATTATATTTTGTTATGTCTAACTCCATGACGTGAGCAATTTACACAACAATCTAAACAATCAATATACCTAACTATTACTAAATGTATGTGAATATCCATAAAATAAGCGATGCAATAAAATTGAATTTTTTCTTGCGTATCTTTGGTATGTACTATTTGTTGGATATTAGTACGGATGAATGCATTTTTATAAAATTAAATTTTTTCACATGAAGATCATATAGAAAGATACTCGACAATAGATGAATTATTAAATTGAATCGTCTAGAAGAATATTTGTATGATGATAAATAGAGAAGAAGAAAAAAGATAAAAAAAACTATGAGTAAGAATGTCTTTGAGCAAACTCAAGTAAGAAACGCAAAGCTTTAGGCAATAAAAACGCTTAATTGAGTTAAAATTCTGCACATGATAAACACTTTATTTGTCAAGAGGTTATACACAAACAGTAAAAGAGCAAATGTTGAATAATAGTTTTTCATCATTATTTATAAAGTTTATTTAGTACTTTTTCTATAAAAGAAATTATACGTGTAAAAGGTGTATTTGCTTGAAAGGTTGCACATGCAAGAGTCATACTCTTACCATATGATTAAGAAATTAGTCAACAAAAACATGCAAAGTCCAAAAGTGACTGTGTAATAAACTATGCACTTTGAATTATGCACTTCGAAAGATCATATAAATAATCAAAATGATAATTTTATGGACTTGAGTATTGTTTATCATATGAACTGATCTTAATAGTAAACTAAATCTAACGATCTATATTGTTTATATAACATAAGATAACAAATATAGATCAACAACCAATAGAGAGTCGCGACAATAGGAATTGATCTTTGACCAATACAGAACAATACTTTAGATGTCGCAAAAAATAATTATTCAATTTAGAAAATATTTTAATTTACTCAGATATAATAATTATCTTTATTAATGAGATGATAAAGTAAAATAATTCGAATTGTTCAGATGTATTGGATATTGCTTAGCAACTTGTTTTACGAAGATGTCGATCATGTTCTACCAGAATTGAAGAAAAAAGAATGGTAACCTGAAAGTAAAAGAAACCAAATAAAAGAATCGAAATTGATTCTGAATTTTGACACTTGTGTTTGGCGTGATTTTTTTACTGGTGATCATGGCTGCAGGATTATCTTCAGAATCCGCTAATTGGGTACTACCATCTTATCCAACAACATTTGCATCAACATTACCAAATTATGAAGAAACATTACCAAATCGTGTTAATCAAGATGGTGTTAAAAATTACATTAAAAGTCGTGGCACTTTGAATATTGGTGATTGGGCTACTGAAGGTCGAAGAATGTCAACATCTACATCTACATTTTCCCAACCAATAGTTCAAGAACGAAATGTTTTAGAAGCACCACCTCCGAAAGTACTTGGACCTGAAGCATTACGAAATTATACGAAAAGTCGTAGTTCAACACCAAATCTTATTTATGGTCCACTTCAACCACCTGATCTTCATCATCAACGACGTGTTAAAAGAGAAGGTCTTGCTAATTATGAGAAAAATCGCCTAACAGAAATGAAAACATTATTTCATAGCTATGGAAAATTACCAATCCCTGATCAACAACAACCTCGTACACAAGGCGAAGTAAATTTTTTAAAAGATTATTTAATTAAAAATATAAATAATATCTGTTTTTTTCTTCTGTAGGTAGCAACTGATCTTTTCTATACACATCAAGAAGGTAAGATGGGTCCAATTTTAAATAATTATGGTAAAGTTCCACCTTCACCAAGACCAATGCCACATGTAAAAGGTCTTGCTGCCGAAGGTAATTTACAAAAAGGTTATGGTGATTCACAAATACTTGAACATGCTGCTGATTATCGCCCGAGAACAGCTGATCCACATGTAAAAGGTGTTGAAGCTCATATAAATTATGACATGGGATTAGGTCGTCATGTTGATAAACTTATGTATGAATATGGTCATTTGCCACAGTCTGCTCGAACAATACCAAAAGTTAAATTTGGTGGTGTTGATAATTTTGTAAAAGGTCAAGGTGGTGCAATGCGTAAAGCTATTTCACAATGTCCACCATCACAACGCTATCTTGAACGGCCACAATCAGTAGCAGCCTGGCCTTAAATAACCTTATTTATCTTCCATTTATTTTGCATTTGTAATAGAGTGTATTTAGTTTTTTTTGTTCCTTTTACTAAATTAAAAAAAAGCTCATTTTTCCATAGTTATATCTGATAATAACATCGAAATTAAAAATCTCATCGACTTTTTTTTCTCATTTTTATTCCAGACATGCAGGAACAAGAACGTTTTGAACGTTATACACCACAGTTTCCTCTACCTGCCGATATTTCAACTATGTCTCGTGAAGATACTGTCTGTCAATTTTGTGGTGTTTCATATTTAATTCATAATGAAATAAAAGCACTTGAAGCTAAATGTCAAAAACTTGAAGCTGATTTAGCTCATTACGCTGGTACGAGTTCACGTGAAGCTGCTTTAGAACAAACTCTACAAACTGAAAGAACACGTATTGCTGATTTGGAATCAACTATTGCAATTAATAGTCACAAGTATGTTTGTTTTTTTATTCAAATATAATTTACATTTTCTCTTTAAGACTCAATGAAATGACAAGAGAACTTCAATTAGTACAAGATCAATTACAACACTCAGAAATGTCTCATCATGAAATAAAGTATGAGAGTATTGTTTTTATGTTATTATTTTCTATTCAATTATTTTAAAGAACATCTTTCGCACACTGTTCATTGAATCTACGAACAATACGTAATCAAGTTGAAACTATTCGAAATGAATATTCACTCTTAAAAGATTTCTATTCAAAAGATATTCAAAATTGGCATAGTAACTTTCAAACAATTAAAAATTCACTACAAAAAGGTATGAACATATAATTAAATAAATTCTTTATTATTTTGAAAAAATAATTTTAATAGAAATACAAACAACAAATAATGTATATATTAAACAAATAAATAATTATCAGAAAGATATTGAACAATATCATGAACAACTTAAGTATAAATAAATCAATTATAATATTCATCTTTTATCTTTTTGTTTAGTGAAAGTAAACAATCTTTACGTGCTTTTCAAGTCAAACATCAACAATCACAACTTGATTCAAAAGAATTACATACAAAGTATAAAATCTTCTGATTCAATCATTTATTATCTATTTTTATATAGAACACAAAATGATTTAGAAACAGCTCATGAAGAAATTCAGATACATAAAAATGAACTTTCTCGTGTGCGTCAACAATTGTCACAAATTGAACAGAGTCGAACACAATTACAAAATGAATTAGAACAAATGAAACAACAATGTCGACAATTCGAACAACAAATATCAGATAAAGATGAATCAAAAAAGAATATTGATCTTGTTGTTGATCAATATCGACAACAATTAACTAATGAAAAAGAATTACGAACAAGTAACATTTTTTATTTTATTCAAATTTTTAATTTATTTAATTGGTGTAGAGACAAATTCTGAGTTAGAAAATGTTCGATTGAAACTAACGCAATTAACTAATGACTATGAACAATTAAAAATATCGAAAAATGAATTTGAAACAAATGAAGTAAATACTCGACGAAAAATGGATGAAGCGAATCGAACACGACAAGCTGTTCTTGATCGAACAAGAGATGAATATGAAAAATTATTAAGAAAATATAATGATCTTGATGAAGTTTACCGTGAATTAGTTACCATTCGAGAAAAAGATACTTGTAAGAATTTATTTCATATTTTCAAAATAGAAATTTTCTTTTATTTCGTTTAATGCAGCAGAATCTTCGATAATTCGTCGTGAACTTGAAAATTTACATACTGAAAATATTGAATTAACTAAACAAAAAGAAACACTTTGTATTACACATGATCTACAAATAAAAAAACTTCATGGTAATTATGCAACTAAATTACGTGAAGCTGAACAATGGCCTGATCGTCTTCAAACAGAATTAAAACATGAACGTGAACAACATCGAATACAAATGATTGAATTAGAACGGCGTCTTAAAGAAAATTTTTCAGCTGTAAGTACATATCATATTCGAAAAGATATCACATATATATTATAAATTTATCTAGGAATTAGATATTGAAAAACAAAAAACAAGTGGTCTCTTACGTAAATATGAACAAGATAGTGGTCATTCAACACAACAACTTCGACATGAATTAATTTCAACTGAAAAAGTAACGATTGAACAACGTCAATATTACGAACAACAAATTGAACAACTTCAACGAGATAAAAATGATTTAAAAAAAGAATTAGATACATTGAGAGATGTTTTGAAAGAATTACATCAACAAATGAGTAAAAAAATACTTATCATGAGGGAAATAATTTTTCAAAAATTTATTTTCATTTAGATAATCAAGATTCATTGAATAATGATCGAGGTCATGGTTTAAAATTAAAAGAAGATTTATTAGAAAAAGAAAATAATTTATTTCAAGCACAATCAACTATAACTGAATTGAAAAAAGATTTAGAACAAGCACGAGAAGAAGTAATTCATTGATTTCTTTTTTTCTTAGCTAAAAACAAACGATTAATTTGTTCTATGTAGATGATAACATTACAAGAAACAGTACATAAAGAATGTACAGAACGTGAACAATTAAAAGATGCACTTATTGAAGCACGTCAACAGTTATTATCATTGAAAAAGAATGGTACGAATATTTCGACTAATTATCTTATTATATGTTTCTTTTGTCTAGGTGTTCTAAATGGAACAGCATCTCGATCTCTTCATTCTCCACCTGTAGCTTTTGAAGAAATTGAACGACGTGTTTCTGGTCCTCTTCCATATTCTCATCCACAAAATCAACAATTAGCATCTATAGCTCATAATAAAAATTCTTCTTACATTCATTCAGAACCGCCATCACGTGATAGTAGTATACATGGTGATGCTGCTGATACTATCGCACGACCAATGTCTTCAACACATAATATTCCATATCGTCATAAAACTTTACCACCTATACATCCACAGCAGCAACAACGTCGTAATGGAAGTGGTCCAGCATCAAATAAATCTGAGCAATTATTAGAAAATCAACGACGTATTGCACGTTTTATTAAAAATATCAAATAAATATTCGAGCTTATATGATTAGATAAAAATATCGAGCTTTTACTATTGATATGTTTTTCTTTCTCCGATATATTTCATCGAGCTTGTTTTTCTATTTATTTATTTTTTGTTTTCTTCATTTTATTAGAGCTTTTCTTGTTTTGATCAGATTGTATTCTTATAATCTCATCGTTTGATAATCTCTCTCTTTTTTTTGTGTATTCACATTAATCCTCAACCTAAGTCGCTATGAAATATTGTAATTTGTGATTGTCAGTGTTGAAATACATGATTTATCAATACTCATTAAAAAAAACAAATCTCTCAATTCCAATGATTCTTTGCTAAGAATTTGATATTAATTAAAATTTAGTGACATTCGAGCTTCGTGGTTTATTTATTACTATGAAATTGTTATTTTATCGCTTCATTTTTTAAGAAAGAAAAATTCATATAACATCAATGCATTTTAATTAAAATAAATTAGATAGGTAGTGTATTTATTGACTTATGTCTATACAAAGGTGTAGTTGTTGCCTTGATTAGAAAGTAACCTTTTCAGTATCGATGATAAACTATAATATAGACTGGCATTTTCAACATATTATTATGATTAGTTGTAGTCGTAGTTCGTATTAGTGAAGGTGTTTTTTTTGTTTTCAATGGTGTCTTTACTTGATCGTGTTATTCTTAAAGCTTATTGGCGGTTATTACCAATTATATTTCTATCATATATCATTGCATATGTTGATCGAAATAATGTTTCATTAGCTAAACTTAAAATGGTTGACGATTTGCCGTCATTTCGATATCGAACTGAAAGTATTTTTGCATATGGTCAAGTAGCCTTTTTTATCGGATATTTACTTCTTGAAATTCCTGGTACATTATTAGTTGAAAGATGGAGTGCTCGTAAATGGATATGTCGTATTATGATTACTTGGGGTATTTTAGCATCATTGACAGCAATTGTTAAACAACCATGGCATTTCTATTTACTTCGATTCTTACTTGGTCTTGCTGAAGCTGGCTTTTTTCCAGGTGTTATTGTCTATTTAACTCATTGGTTTCCAGGAAAAGCAAGAGCACGAGCGCTTTCTCTATTTCTTATCGCTACACCTATCGCTCAATTTGTTAGTCCAAAAATTTCCTATTATATTCTTCGTATGGGTACCATAGAGAATGGTATCTATTATAGAACATTATTTAAACTTAAAGGTTGGCAATGGATGTATATAGCTTGGGGTGTACCATCAGTGATACTCGGTATCATTGTTCTATTTTTTCTAACTGATCGACCAAAAGATGCTACTTGGTTAAGTAGAGAAGAACGTGAAGTATTAGAAACAGAATTATCAATTGAATTAGAACGTCAACAGTCTATTGGTGGTCACTTAACAGTACTACAAGCTTTACGTCAAATTAAAGTACTTCTTCTTGCTATTGCTTATTTTTTTATTGTAACAGGTAATTATGGCGTAGAACTTTTCTTACCAACGATTCTTCGTGATTGGTATCATTTAAATGACTCTCGTTTGACATGGTTATTAATGATTCCACCATTAGGTTCTCTTTTTGGAATGTTAATAGTTGGATTTAGTTCAGATCGAACTAAAGAACGACGTTTTCATGCTGCTATACCTATTCTTATTGGAGCAATAGGTCTTGGTTTAACATTAATTCGACATCAACCATTAATTACAATAATTATTCTTTTTACAATAACATCAATTGGTACGAAAGCTTATTTACCAGCATTTTGGTCATTGCCAAGTTTATTTCTAAGTGAATCGGCTGCTGCTGGTTCCATTGGTTTTATTAATTCAATTGGTAATCTTGGTGGTGGTGTAGGACCGACTATATTAGGTGTTATCAAAGATCGTACTGGTTCATTTTTTCTTGGTATTCTATCTCTCTCAATATCAATGGCTATAACAGCTGTAATTATTATGACTCTTCGTTTCGATCGACGTTATCAAACCTCAACTCCTAAAAATACTCAACAATTATCGACTCCAGATATCGATCATAGATTAATAGAAAAAACAACAGAGATTAAAGAACTAACTCAGTTCTAAAGATTTATTCGTTTTTTTAGAATTATAAAAAAAAGAGAGAAATAAATAAATGTAGTTATAGCATGATTGATCTCAAAGCTAATGCCTTCTTCTTCTAAATATTAATATTCATTGAAAATAGATTTTACTTATTAATGTTTACTTTATTTATATTTAAATTAGAAAACTTAAATAAATTTCTTTATAATTCACTAATTATTGAAGTAGTGTGCATACTAAAAATAATAACGTGCAGAAAAATAGAATGATTAAAAAGATGGAAAGAATGAAATTGAGAAACCGGACATAATAAGAAAGAAGAAGAAAAAAAACAATAACTATCACAAAACGGGCACATTAGAATAAATAGTTGCGTCACAACTAGTATAATTGACAAAACAATATGCAAAAAAAACAATAGAAAATAAAATGAGCTTCACAATAACAGAATAACGATCGTACTGAATCTGACACATGAAATAAACAATAACTACTAATAAAAATAAGAAGATTTTTTTGATATAACAAGAAATAAAATAAAAAAACAAAACGAAAAATTTTCACATTTATTTATTTTTCAAATTTTGATAACCTTCGTGGTGCTCGTTTTTTTCCTGCTGTTAAAACAAATAATTTTCCATCCTTAACAGAAACAAGTAAATGACTATAATCTTTTGTTAAATAGAGACAATTAATTTCTGTTCGAAGTCGAATTGTTTGAATAGTAATCATTCTTTAAATAATAATAATAATCGGATTAGAAAAATAAATGAATTAAAATATCTTACTCAAACATATCTTTTATAATAACTCTTGCAATTACTGCTGATGTTTGTGTTGATGATGATGATGAAGATGTTGATTCGGATCTTTTTTCGATTGGTGAACTATGATTAACAGCAAGTATAATATATTGATCACTTAAAAGCATATCAACAACATGATATTCAAATTTTCTTGTACGAATAAGATGACCATTAATTGAATATAAAAATAAATGTGTATCATCATGTTCTGTTTGTATAAGAATATGTCGTTCATCAGATACTTTTAAATTCACAATCGGATCATTAATACTATTCGTTGGTCGTAATGTACGTACATAAATTCCATGTTCCATTGTATACATATTACAAGTACCATCTAATGAACCTGAAGCAACAAGATCAAGTTCAGATGAAACTGCAACACATGTAACTTCAGCTGTATGACCATAGAGTGTTATTTTTGGTGAAGTAAATGTTGTTGAATCTTGTTCGTTTAATGTTAAATACCAAATAATACATGTTGTATCACGTGAACCAGTAATAAGAATATAACCAGTTGAATCTAATGTTAAACATGTAATAATATCTGTATGATGAACAACAGAATTAATTGTTTTTGCTTTAGTTATTGAATATGTACGTAAAGACCAATCCCAATGAGCACCACTATAAATAAATTTCGCATCATGAGAAACAGCAAAAAGACGTGAATTAATATCTATTGAAGGTGAAAATGGTGCAGTCGTATTAAGCCGATTTCTAAGAATATAAAAAAAATATTTATAAAAAAAATTATTTTCGAAAAAGAAATCTCTACCGTTCAGATAATAATGTTGGATCTCGTTCAAATGTAAAAAAATTATTTGATGATCGATCATATGGATGCCAACCTATTTCAATCAAACACACAAAAAAATTAAATTTAAAATAATAAAACAAACAAACCATTATTTCCAATAACACCGTGAGTATTAATCGTAATAAGTACATCAGGTATACCTTGATGTATAAAAGATCGTAGTTG